TGATGATGGTGTAGGTAATGAACAGAACTTCTAGATACGATGTTTTGCAAGCTTTACTTACAGGCGCCTTGCTTAGGTGATAATTTGTGCAGGGCCCCGGGAGATATACACGATGCTAAGCTTGGCTAGGCGTCAGTTTTAAAATAGATTAATCGCTCGTCCGCACTCTACCGTCCCTCACACATGATTCAACTGATGTTCTTTTCTGTATATTCAGTGAATCATGTTTCCCTGCAATGATCCGACACAGAATGATCACGGTAATATCTATACGCATCTCCAGCAAATCTCCAGAACACCAAAATCCACGATCAATGCAGCCCATTCACACCATCAGCCGCATCATCACTCACATCGGACAGCGTCACAGTAGACGAAGAGTGGTAGAGGGTGCGGCATGCGTTTGAATTCTGTAGTGTACCTTGTTCGCACCATATATGCTCACACTGACTACTCATTCTAGTCACCGCCTTCAAATCATCTGGCTTAGTTTTATCGTGATTTGCTACCAGGGCTCAGGCTCACTCAGCGTGGCCAAGTACAAAATCCTAGTGCGTGTTGAGCAGCTTGATAATTGAACTGTACTTGTTGTATCGTGAATCGACAAGGACTTGTAAGTAATTAATACCAGCTATATATCCAAGTTCTTCAGCTCGGCCTTTATACACGCCACGATTTCCTGGACTCTAGGTCGAGCATTTAAATCGGTGGACACACATATTAGCGAATACTGTTCAAGGTCGTCGTCAACTCCGGTGAGCTGGCAGAAGGGCTCTGTGCCTTTCCAGGTGCATTTCCAGATGTCACCAAAACCACCGGTGTAATAAGCAGAATCCTGAGTTTTCTCGAGTTCTGCCAATGGGTTCTCCTCGAGTGGAGTCTTGAAATCAACTTGGTGTGATGCCATCGATTTCGATTTCGATGAGAGTGTGGGTCCCAGTGATAAGTCTAATGACCAATACAACTGGGATATAAATATAAGAGCGGTCTCCTTAGATGACAAATAACAGACAGCTGACAAGAACGTACCATGGACGAATATGGCACCTAGTTGACAACATTCCGTGTATATGATTTCAACCACAGTTGATGATAACGTTGTCCATGTTCAAGTCGCCAACAACATCACGCTGTTCTGCACGGTCAGCGTGTCGACAGGTCATTTAACCACATATCTGCTTTTGGGAAAACCTTGATGACGTGTGATGTAGAAACGCTCGAGAACCAGCATAGCAACTTTATCATACACGTTAAGCCACAATCGAAGTTTCAAAGGGTACATCGTTAGCTTGGACTTACATGCATACACAGGAATAAACATCTACCGAACTTTGGTCGTATTCGTTTTAGATTTTTTCGGTCCATCACTATGGGACGGGGACCTCTTGGATGGCCCGTTCAACTGCAGATGAGAGACATCTGAGTTGGATCAACTTGGCACGTTACCTGAGAACGATCCGGAGCAACCTGGCACAATAGTTAACAGAAACATAACAAAAAAGATACACTTATTAATCGATGAAAACGGTGATGTCTACCAAGTGACTGGTGCTTACTTAACAACTCGTTAAGCTGGAGATAATGGGGAGAGTTCGCGAACACTAGCCCAAATGATTGCTTCCTGAAGATTCGAATTCGCGAAGACGGAGCCACAAAATGTGCTATGTGCGTTCTAATCAATTTCGCCGGTGTATGGTACACACGAGTTTTGCCAGTTGGGAGAGGGGGGTTCGGGCCGTGTATTGTTCGGCATTAGCTGAGTGCGGTTTTCGTTCGTGTTTTGCTTGCACAATGCATCCTAAAATGAGTCACGTGACCCTAAAGCGAAGCGAAGTGTCGATCCGAGCCGAAGCAAAACGACGACAGTTGAGAGTCGAGACAAAGCTGAAAGTACTGAAGCTCTCAAGATCTCAAGTGTCAGGTATGCAGGAAGGTTTATGAGTGCACGACACACTCCAATATGAACGAAAACCATTCTCTGCTCGACTACTTTTCATGCGACTACCGCTTCATCAAGACCATCCAACATGAAGAATACAAGTTCATTCTCCGCGTTCCCAGACAGTACTGGGAGCACACACTATTGGAGTGACGAAGTACCCATTTTCTCCCATCATTTTGAACGTATCCTAAATCCCACAGATGAAGTGCCTTGTCTTGCGGGCCCGCCGACTCATCAGGAAGATACGCGACTGCCATTACTGTACCCTCGTTTTCTTCTCACTTTCGATGGAGTGGGATACGAGCTGCAACATTTTACTGGAGATTGATAGTCTTGAGAATTGCGAGTGTCTTATTTCTGCAGAGGTGCGTGTACTGTCCGTTTATCGTTGCTTTGCTACATTAACCTGCCCCATATGAATGCAGCTTCATAACCTGAACGTTGGAACCGCCTGTTCGTCACAACTAGCGGGCTGATGTCCATCATATGCAATCTATAACGGAGACCCGAATCTAGCGTGAAAAACTCGACTCCAACAAAGGTGAACTTTGGCATTCCAAGTGGACTCGAAAGTTCGAATATTTGAAGGGCCCCAGCGCATTCATGGTATTGGCTCCAAGTTCGCTCCTGCCATTCCGTCAAGATTGAGGAATATCCTGATGGAAATGATGAAGACTTTCCGTCCCACGAATGTAATCATGCACAGTAGCCGATGTTTAGGGTCTAAGATGTACATCGTTTGTTGGATTTGCGTCTGTGGTTGTGAGCTATACCTGGCATTACCATTCAGCAGATGGAGGCTTGTGTACTCCAATGAGATGGGCATTGGAAAGCACGCCAGCAACTGTGGGGTCTGGGATATATTCTCGATTAAATAGAGATTCAAATTTGAGTCGTAGTCGACGACGAGCAACCTGTTGTTTCCGAGGAAACAAAAATCGTTTGGGTCGAATTCTTTGCCGCTGAGAAAGCATTAAAATATCGAGAATCAACTGTGGTCTTTCAACTATTCCTGACTCACACTTGCGTTGATTTGCAGAGGAATGTGTAGCCACACATCAAAATTTGAGAGGCAACGATCGAGGTGCAGTCGAACAAAATCGAGGTTCGGGCAGTCCGCGTTCTAAACCGTATTCGAAGTCTGAAATTGCAAAATTGAACATGGCACCTAGTTAAATCCTAGACCCTGCCAACGTCGAGTACGGTGAGTCCTCCATCTACCAAAACGCACTAATTCTTTCATCCATCCCATAGCTCAAGCGCACCGACTCCGTGTCGGATGTATCAGTGTCATCGACACAGCCTACGCTTATCTACGTGTGCAGACAACGTTATAAAGAGGGAGAAATCAGTGTCACGTTGACTCGTGTATGTCGATGAATAATTTCTCACAATAGCCACAATAGCCACCCTCGTAGACGAATCGAAGGACTAGGCAGCCCTCTGAGTGTTCTGTTACCCGTGGGTTGGGTGCGGGTATCACCCGGGTCGACCCATGTCATGCCCTAAACAAGATGGCATCCATCAGGAGACAGACAAATGGATGTAACAGCGTGGGTATGACCCTGAAAAACGACCAGTTTTTTCCCGTCGATCGATTGCCATTTTAGGATGATATCATACGAGGCAGAGAAAATGTGTGCGCCATCCTTGGACTAACATAACGATCTCGCCCAGCTGTCAGGTCCGTTTATCTCGATCAGCAGCTCGCCGCCCTTTGACCACACCCGGATTGCGTCATCACCGCCGCTCGCGAATTTGTCACCTTGTGGAGAGTATTTGACTGTCCACACATGTGTATCACCAATCTTTATCGATATCGATGGTGCAATTTGTCTGCCAGTGGCCGGGTTCCATCGTCGTATAGTCCCGTCGGGAAATCCACCTGCTACCTCCACCTCATTCGGAGACCAATCAAGGCACGCCACACATGCATCATTATTCCCCTCCCACGGGTTACCGACCACACTCCCCTTTTTTATATTCCACAACCGTACTTTGCGATCTGAACTTCCACATACGATCATTGTTTCATCCACAGACACGGCCATCGCTGTTGCCATTCCGCCACCGTGATCCGCAAGCATTCCTACTGGTTTTCCAGCTCTTGTCCACTGGTGAATCGAACCATCGTCCGATGCACTCATTATATTGCCACTGCCTAAGCAGGCAACTGAGGCAAGGCGGTTGTTGTACCGGTTGTCAGTTTTGATGATGCACTCTGGCATAAAACTCCCTGCTGTTCGTTCTGGCGTTGGCTTCTTCCACGATGTGGTCCGAGTGTTGTGGTTGACGAAGTAGGACCGACCATGCGGTGCGATGTGCCATTCACATCCAGGAAGGAGCTGCCCGGGGTTATCTATGCTCGATCCTGAGTTCCTCGCTCTCATCGCTCTTTCGTCGCTCACCTAGTCGCACTCCTGGTAACGGTCTAGTATGCATTGCAGATATATTGAATGTGCCTTCGCCATATAACGGATCAAGCCCCCCATACTTACGCTCTGTCCACATAGGAGGGAGCGCCTTATTCCCTCCTGCCTGATGTTGAGTTGGTCAATGTGTTTCGTAACGTGCTCGCTCACCTTCCCAAAGTGCGTCCTGGCGGTGCTGTGCACCATAAGCTGGCAGGATCTCCGAGCGCTTCAGCGGAGAAACAGGTCCTGACGAGTTTTTCGCTGGCATCCTTGACTTGTTCTTTTGTGCAGCGCAACGACGATTGGGGACGGGACGTTGGTGATGGTGTAGGTAATGAACAGATCTTCTAGATACGCTGTTTTGCAAGCTGTACGTACAGGCGTCTTGCTTAGGTGATAACCTGTGCAGGGAGATATGCACAATGCTAAGCTTTGCAAATCGCTGGGAGTTGCCGTGGCGCGCAAAATATCGTCACGGTCTGGATGAGTAACATGGAGATGGATGCTCTCGAGCCGGGGAATTGTTCCAAACCGCCTTCAAATTATCCGGCTTGGTTTTATCGTGATTTGACACCAGGGCTCAGGCTCACTCAGCGTGGCCAAGTACTAAATAGTGCGTGTTGAGCAGCTTAATAATTGAGCTGTGCTTGTTGTATCGCGAATCGACAAGGACTTGTAAGTAATTCATACCAGCTATATATCCAAGTTCTTCAGCTCGGCCTTTATAAATGCCACGATTTCCTGGACTCTAGGTCGAGCATTTAAATCGGCAGACACACATCTCAGCGAATACTGTTCACGGCCGTCGTCAACTCCGGTGAGCTGGCAGAAGGGCTCTGTGCCTTTCCATTTCGCCGCCATCACGTGGTACACATGCACCAGCTCGAAGTAAGGTTCTTTCTCACAAAGTAGCTTCGAAGTGTCAAACATGCACCGATCTCAATGAACTAAACAACATACCTGAAGCATGATACAGCCGTACGAATACACGTCTGCGGGCTTTGTTGGCTTTGTTAGCTTCCCTGGCTCGGGTATAGCAAACATTTCGGGGGCCATCCACCGCACGTTACCTGCGTGGCAGGAGTTGAATGTGGGGTTTCCCGACTCTGCAAGGACCATTGAGAGACCGAAGTCTGCGAGGCAAAGCTTGTCGTCGCTATTAATGAGTACGTTGGTCTGAATTCATGATATTGTCATCTCTCAAGCACAGTTCCGCAAAATATAATAAACATACCGGTGTCAAATCGCCATGGACAATGCCCTTTCCATGCACTAAGGGGATATTTCAACCTGAGTATTGCATGGAAAATAGAAACCACGCACGATACTTGAGACCGGATGCTATCTGGTGAGACTGATGCCTTTGCTTGAGATTCAGCTAGTTTTTCAAAAACAAGCGCTTACCATGTCTAGCTTCCGGGATATCAATAGAGTGGGTTTCTGTTTCAGGTAGTTATCGAGGGATCCTTTTGTCATCCATGACGAAATGAACGCTGGTAAGACTCCGAAACCAGATGTGATTCCGTGAAGCGAGAGGATGTGGTCGTCTTTCAAGTTAGCCCAGACGTAGGCCTCGCGCCGTATACCCTGTCAGCCATAAATTCTGTAAGCAATATTGATATGCTGTAATGTGAGACCTTACCCGGGCAGTCTTTGCTAACAGTTCTGTTTGACTCCTGTCAGTGACCCTCACCGCCTTGATTGCAACCTAGAAATAAACATCGATATGCGTGCACGCATCCTTGGAGTTGGGCTCACTGTGAGTGGGGGTTCCTTGGAAGAAGTGTACCAGGTACATTTCCAGACGTCACCAAAACCACCGGCGTAATCAGCAGAATCCTGAGTTTTCTTGAGTTCTGTCACTGGGATCTCCTTGAGTGGAGTCTTGAAATCAACTTGGAGTGATGCCATTGTTTTCGTTTTCGATGAGAGCGTGGGTCCCAGTGATACGTCTAATGACCAATGCAACTGGGGTATAAATACAAGAGCGCTCTCCCTGGATGACAAATAACAGATAGCTGATAAGCACGTACCACAGACGAGTATGACACAAGCTATAGATGTTCGACGTGGAATGCTATACATAACATGCAACCCCAACTAGTGGCCCTAACAAGCCTAGTTGACAAAGTTCCGTGTATATGGTTTCGACCACAGCATTAATAGATCATCTGATGACCACAGTTGAGGGTAACATCACTTGTTCGAGTCGCCAAAAATGTCACGCCGTTCAGCACGGTCAGCAAGTTGACAGGTCATTTCACCACATACCTGTTATTGGGAAAAATTTGATGACATGTGATGCAGAAACGCTCGAGAACCAACACAGCAACTTTGTCATGGGCGTTTAGCCACAGTCGAAGTTTCAAAGGGAACATCGTTAGCTCGGACCTACATGCATATACAGAAACAAATATTTATCTACCGGACTTCGATGCCGAATGGAAGTGGTGTTCAAACTTTGGCCGAATTCGTTTTGGATTTTGTCGGTCCATCACTACTGTGGGACGGTCACGGGGGCCTCTTGGACAGCCTGGTGTCACGTTCTACGGCGGATAATAAACATCTGAGTTGGGTCAACTTGACACGTTTAGTACCTAAGAACAATCGTGAGCAACCTGGCACAATAGTTAACAGCAACATAACAAAACAAAACCAACAGATACACTTATTACAGCCATTTGCAGAACACTAGGCCACAATGAAAAAACTACATACACAGCGGTGTTTAAATTTCTATTTCAAATCAGGATACATGGTGTATGAGGCTCTCGGTGGGGCTCAAGGAACTGACAAGATTGACCGTCGGGAAGTTGAAACTTCGTGGTCCGACATGTTGCCGAATGTATGTATTTTTTTGGCTCCAGCCTAGTGTTCTGCAAGTGGCTGTAATCGAAGAAGAAAACAGGAACACAGTGTGCCTATCATTAGTGAATCGGTTTGGTGACTTTAGCGGATAGGTTCGCTTTCCTGATACTCTCCAGAATCTCCATCAATGATGACTCGGAGCTGATCTCATAGCTTTAAATTCGTTTAAACTGCAAGACCTGTGGTTGACCGTGTCTCAAGCTCTTTTCACAATAATGGGGTGAGTCGCGTACTCGAAGCGTGTCCAACTCAATAAACTTCTCCGTTTTTTGAAGTTTCTATCAACTGCCCAACCTCCCCAACCCGATTACTCGAAAGGATCCATTTCCGCAAGAAGGAGGAGCATGTGGTACTGTGTGGCGATGTGTTTTGCGCACCGAATCGACGGAATTTGAGGTGCGAGACTTGTCAGTGAGTGTATGTAAAATTCGATCCCGATCTTTAAGGTAGGTTGCAGTAGAAACTATACGAACGCAGTCTAATGGAAGAAGGGAAAACGTTGGTCTCTTTCTGACGACAGCTACAGTTTTTTCATCGTCCACAGGTCCGTCAAGAATTGATCATATGGATGCAATTACATCATGAAAACATAGTTCCGCTCCTTGGAGTGACGTCGGGATTCGGTCCAGACATGACCATACCCCAGCACTGACATCATGCCAGCGCTCATGCACTCGGGGAAAATTGTATGGCGGGAAATCGCCGCGAGATCAGCATAGTGCGTTAAAACTACATAGTCTGTAGGAAATGATATTGGGAGGGCGCGTGTGTGCAGTGTGGGGGGAACGATCTAGTGCAAGGATGTACATACTTGCGATCGGGTACCCAAGGAATAGATGCAACGGAATGATTGGTGCACGGGATATACAGCACCATGATTTGCAGCCAGGACGTGTTTCTAGCGATAGTTGAAATTAGAATCGAGGCTTCATGCCATAGTGTTACAACCAACCCGAGATTGAGGAGGTTATGGCAATCAAATACGCAGTCTCAACGCGAACAAAGAGATAACGGTTGTTACAGAAAAGAACCAGACCCACATATGAAATAGGTGTCCATATGCTGCAGCATCAATGTCTATCTGCATTCGGGGGAGATGCACAACAGAGAAAAATAACGAAACGAACCCGCAATGCAAGGGGCTGTGGCTGCGCGGTTGCTGCACCTGGCGCGGTAGCATGAGTATCAGGAGCAGTAGGTGTCGTGGACGTCGAGGCGGCAGCTGGCTGAGTCTGCAGTGACGGCGCCTGGGTCTGCGATTGACTTTGTTGCTGATGTTGTGTTGGTTGTGCATTGCCATCGTGTTGAGGAGACGCACAGCAGAGAAAAAGCACGAGATGGGCCAACATTCGGACGGGAAGTGAATACGCAGGTCTTGCACCTGGTATGGTATTACCATTAGACTGAGTGTGTGGACGATCTGGTGGCGACCGCTGAGCAACGAACAATACCTGCATGGATGTCATTAGACACCATAAATTGACACACCGGAAAAAGACATACCTCCCTGTCCCGCATTGGAGCCACATCGACAACATGAGGACGCCATGGGCGTTGCGGGAGTTCGATGTCTTCGTTGGTGTGTGCTTGAGAGCGGAAGAGTGAGGACAGACGGCTGATGAGTCCATCTGGACGTGAACCCGAATGTGTTGTGGGATGAGTTTCGGTTTCTTCTTCGGTGTTGGGTCGAGAGCGGGGACGTAGTGAGGACAGTCGAGCGAGGAGCGCATGTGGATCTAATCGCGAAGGCGTAGAGGGTTGCTGAAGTTCGCCTGCTGCATCATTTTCATTATTTTCAGGTGGAGAACGGTGAATGAGTGAGGACAGGCGAGCGAGGAGCACATGTAGATGTAACCTCGAATGCATCGGGGGTTGTGGAAGTTCGGTCGCTTCATCGTTGTCGTGTCGAAAGCGGTAGACGAGCGAGGAAAGACGAGCGAGGAGTGCACTTGCATAAGAATGAGGGTGGGAAGCACCTGTTTGGGAGGGCTGAGAGGACAACGATCAGGGCAAAAACTAGATAACAAAAATGATGGCGCACGTGAACTTCGGCCTCCATGCTATCAAAAAACCCAGGCGGGAGTTCATCGACATGACCCCCGGACTCGTTGTGACATCGCGTAGCATCAGCCTGCAACGTTAATGCTATAACCACTGAGCAGGTTCACAAACACTCCACGTACTTCCAAAAACGACTTGTCACTTAGTGAAGAGCGGGGGGTTCGCTCTATTGCTAAATTGCCTTGAGATGCCTTCTGTTCGAGTCCGTCTTTTGGTGCCTAGCAGCAGACATTGTCAGTAAGAGAGAGGGTGGGTGAGGCGTTGACACTCACAATATTGGTATCAGTGGCACTCACAATATTGGCACCAGTAGCACTTACAAGATTGGTACCAGTGGCACTGACAATATTGGTACCAGTGGATAGTAAACCGTCGATGTTCTTTTCAGATATCCTCAGTCGTTGTTCGAGCATCAAGAAGGACACGATAACGTCGTCGCGAATGAGCTCCGCTTCTCCCTGCATGATTACTGCGAAGTTTTGGGTTCGCGTTCCTTGTTGGAGGTGCACGACGGGTTTGGACATGTCGCCCTTCCGATATAACTGACAGAACGCAAATCGCGAGAGTAAACGTCAGAAAGTGGCACAAAGGCAATGTATCGCGTGTTGACTTACAGCAAGTCGGTATTCGGCGTCTGACTTCCAAACGTAAGTTCCAAGTGCAGTCTCAATGGCGTGGATATGACTGTGGTACACGTCAGCCACTGGACTGCGCTCACCTATACCAGTTCACGTACTGTCCATTCTCAAGCTTGCTTTTCTGCAGCCATTTACTGAGGTATATTGAATAGCCCCCATTTCTATAGGGAAATGTGATGGTGTCTGGCAGGATATCTCTCCTGTCGATCCGAGCCAAAAGGCGATTGCCACGAAGGTCAAAGATATCAGTGTGCTTGTCCGACTTTACGTCGGTGACCACCGAATACAGCGGAGAAGCCGGTTGGTTATTGAATATTTTTGTGTTTTTCATATTATCTAGGCTGAAATTGTACGATTTAGGCGGGGCAGGATTTTCTGGCGTTGTTGTTGACTGCATGGTGCGAAAGATATGCGAAGGTAGGGTGTGCGCAAATGTAGATGGTGCATATCTTTGATGGGCGACAATTTATAGAATACAGCAAGTTATTGAGGCTGTGCAATGTAAGACACTCGAACGTCATGTATCAGCGCTGCAGCCGTGTGGAGTACAGCCTGTATACTGGTTCTTTCCAATAGTACAGGCTCCGATTCAGACTCCTTGTTTGTTGTTTGTTTAGGGGCGCTGTCCTAAATCATCAATTCCATGCTGTGTTAGTACCTTCTGCTTACTCAAATTTCCACTGGCAGTCGACGGGCGTGGAGACTCTAGAGACTCGCACAAGACTTGTCGTATGACACGGTGTTGATCTATATGCGTACAGTGTGTAGTAACTAATTACACATGACACGCATCCGCAATATTGACATGCCAACATTGGGACGTGGGGTTAGGGTTAGCGACTTGATCCCAATCGTCCACCATGGCACCCTTCCTTGAAACAGTCAAGGTAAGCTCAAGATGCACGTTTTAGATGGTTCACCTGATGAGGTCATTTTATAGTCGTTCGCCGATGTCCCCATCACCGACGATGGTGTCAATACTGTTGCATTTCTCGAAGCTGATGATGGTGTCGTTCGCATGCTTAGTGCGTATCACTACGCCATTCACTGCATCGTCTGATCGATAATGCACAGAGGAACTCACTAGCCTTATGAGCTCCGTTGGCGCAAAGTCTTTCTCCCCTGTCATCAGCGACATCCAGGGTAACGTCAAGGTGGGGCGTCTCGATGCATGTGATCACTGATCAAGCGCTCATCTAACTCCTTTACCAGAAAGTTCGTGATCGGTACGATGCATTTCCCTCGCAGTCGGCAACACTGGAGCAGCTGGTGGCCAACGAGAATAGCAACAAAGTAGGAAGCGCAACAGAGGGCCTCATGTGGCTTCTTCGGTCCCTCGCGTTCACGGGCAAATCCCTTCAGCACGCACAGAAAAACCCATCAGAGGAACTTAAAGTCTCCTTCACGAAGGGTTATGATATCACTCTCGGGCCTATTCACCGTGGGGCTTCAATCTTCAGCATACAAGGAGCTATCATGAAAGCGGCAGGCTTGATGTTCAACGTTCGTCGATCATTTCTCTCACAATCCATTGTTCGATTACAACGTTGCGCGTAGACTGCTATCGGATATTGTCCGCCCCGCAAGAACTTTTACGAGAAGCTCGCAGCCAACCCAGGCGGAGAGCCATGTTCGCAGGAGACACTTGACAAGGCACTTAACGCTTGGGTCACTGGCCTGGATACCATTATCTCAAGGATGGACGCGTTCTACACAAAGGGGAAGCATGGAGAGATATACAAATCTGCATGAACTTATAGATCAGCATATCGGGAATAACTGCCCCGCGCATTATGCATTGTATGCATAAATCATCAGCGGCGTGCGTCATTTGTTTTGAAATGGACTTTTTGCAAGTTATACACGGACTTGAAGCTTGATGTGTTATCAATAATGGAGATCACTGTTGGGAAAGGTGCCATGCTCCGCTCACTTAGTGTCCTACCGTCCCACGAAACAAATCACACATGTAAATGAGACATGCTTGTTAGCTCACTGGATCGAGGATTGAGTCTGAGGTGCGTTAAAGTCAATCATAAACCATGAAACCAACACGTCTAAAGCAACTAAATTCGACAGGAACGTGCTAACTGATAGTGATCACCTTCGTTCGTACCATGCAGACTACAGACCAAACACAGAAACTACATCGTGCCTCACGACTGGGGAGGGCATAATTGACGTATTTCCAGTGCATCTAGGATTTCTCTTCCGCAGGCTCATCATCGCTGTAGAATAGGTATAATGTGACCAGGCATCGCACGAGATGACGGAGAACTAGCCACTAGCTGCCATGTTTCAATAATCAGGAGCACTTTGTGCTGCGATGAGGTATGTATGATGGGATGACACGCCAGAAGTATCAATATTGATCTATGCACAGGGATATTTTGTTACACTATTTGCAACCGAGTTGGAGGCTGGAAGACAAACCAAGGCACGGGGTATACATACAAAACTCTAAATGTCCAGTCCTCTTCATCCCCACCCCGACCCTTTCCTCATTCCCGCTCCAATCCCCTTCCCTGGGCCTATCCCGATCTCCTTTCCCGTATTATCCTTCATCGCTCTAACACCCCAAAACGCAAACCGACACGTCGATCCGCTCCCATGACCTGCTTTTCTGTACATCTGGTCGTAGCTGATGCTGAAAGAGAAGTAGCCTTCGAAAAGTTCCTTTTTCACAGCTTTGCTCGTCTTTTTTCCTGCATTCGGTTTCATTGGTGAATCTGCCGCCGCGCCTACGCGATCAACTGCTGTCCCATCGCCACCACCCTCGCTCTCTCCCTCCTCACCCTCACCCTCCCCGACCCACACGCGCTTCATCTTCCATATCCCCTTCGCATTCTTGACTCCGCATTGAGGAGGGAGGCCTGCTTGTCCGATGACACCCGGCGATACAGGGCTATGGTCAGGGGCGAGGAAAGAAGCACGTTCACTCGAGGTGAAAGTAAGTTCTGGGTGATGTTTCAAATTGCAAAGCAGCACATCAAAAGGGCGCTCCATCATGGGATCGAACACAGATACGCTTTCTGCTCTACCCGTGTCAGAGCTGAGCGAGAGGAAGCACCGAGCGGTGTAGTCGTGCTTGGACTGGTAGGCGAGGATTGTGTCGTAGACTGCGGCGTAGTCGGGAGATGTGCTGCCTGGCGGGAGGTAGGCTTTGACGAGGAAGGGGAGGTACATGCCATAGAGGTCGAAGTTGCCTGAGAATACGGCGGGTGGAAGGGCGTTTAATGTGTGGAGGGATTTGGGGAGGGGTGGGGGGGAGAATAGCAATTGTTGGCTGGTGGAGGGTGAGTGAGCGGGTTGCTTCTTGGGGTCGTATGAGGCTGGCGGGCAGACATACCTTTTGTGGAGGCGGCGTCGGTGTTCGCACTGGGCGGGCGCGGGGAGTTTGATTGGTGTCGGTGATTGGAAGGGGGTTTGATGGTCTCGAACGTTTTTCAGGGCGCGATTTTGTGGGGACGGCGGGTCCTGAGAGTGCACGGGCGTTCATTAATGGAGTCCCGCGTGATGCTGAAGGTTGGCGATATGGCTTTGTGAGACCGCCAGAGGAGGATGACTGCAAGAAGTTTGTCGGAGAAGGGGGTTCACTGTGTGAATGCGAGGATGATTTAGGTTGTACCACTGGTACACGTAGCATGTTGGCAGCGCCAACGGGTGATGAAACCATGGGCGTTTGTGATATAGTTTGTACATATTGTTTTTGAAGAGTAACTGGACGCGTCGTGGTGTCACGTGGTCAAGAAATCAACCCAAATTCCAATCAACTCTCCATTCAACTTTGTCATGCAACTCCAATACTTGCTGGTGTCCTTGCCTCTCGAAGTCATGCGGTAAGTGCCACATGCATCGTTATCTCAATTTCATCCGCCAGGATCTTGCTCATATTAATTCTCCAACAAGCAACTACCATTGACCACATGGATGTGCTGCCCTCAGCACGTGTTACCACTACTGTCTCCTCGTACTTATCTTCTATCAAGAAGTCTAGTGTGCAAACCCTCAAGTGAAAGCGGTCCGGATCATGTGCCCCACATCATTAACATCTTTGGAATACCAATTCCTACATTGACACGAGAGCGGCCGTCGCATCCCCCATCTCTCGCGGTCTTCGCCTCCAGCATCATGGCACCTTCCGTCAACCTATCCAGACAGCCCACAAGGACTCTCATATTGAAATATCAATTGCATATCCTATGCAGAACGATTCCCCAAAAACCGCTGCTGACATCGATGCCTTCCTAGAAGCAATATCAATGGTATTAAACCAACATCCTGCTTCGCAGTTTTCTCTGCTGCACCAGACTTGCTCCACCAAATCCATAAATGACGCGGCGAATTCTCGGACTCGGAGAAACCTCGGATATGTCACGTGCAGGCTTGATAAGTTATGGACAGTATATATGAGAGTGGGGGGAGGGAGACAAGTAGTGCTCATTCCTACCTCTCGCCCTTATCGCACTCACAGACTTGTGAGAAGCAAAGCTATCAGAACGTTGTCACAGTCTAGATCTCACTTTGACTCAAAACCTGCCATGCCGTGGTCAGATTTCGCAAACGCAGACGTGGATGATATCGTCGAGAAGCTCACAACGGACGAGGCTATTCTCCTCACCGCCGGTGTTGGCTTCTGGCACACCCACGAGATAGCCCATCTTGGGATACCTGCTGTTAAAGTCAGCGATGGCCCTAACGGTATGTCAGATTCGATGCGCGATTCAAAAACGCGAGAACTCAGACGCATATATGCAGGTATCAGAGGCAACCACTTCTTCATGAGTACACCGGCAAAGTGCCTGCCTTCAGCCACCGCGCTTGGAGCGACCTGGGATACGGAACTGATCGAGGAAGTCGGGCTGAAATTGCTCGCAGGCGAGGCGAAGCTTAGAGCCGCGCCTGTTATTCTTGCCCCGACATGTAACATCCAACGCGTATGTCTCTTTCCAATCTTTCATGCGCACCCGTTCATGACTCGCGAACCGACTGCAGAACCCTCTAGGTGGCCGTGTAAGTCAGATGACCAGAATGACAGCTCGGATCCGATCTAATTTTGCGCGTCATTGTTCAGGCCTTCGAGAGTTTCTCAGAGGACCCACTCTTATCTGGCCTCATTGCCGCCGCGTACGTCAAAGGCGTTCAGAAAGGCGGCATTGGAACTTCAATCAAGCATTTCGTGTATGTATAGCTACAATCATCTGACTCCAATCACGAAATTCCGTCCATGCTGACTCGGAACTAATACAGGTGCAATGACAAAGAAGACGATCGTATGGCATACGACTCGATCCTCAGCGAACGCGCGCTTCGCGAGATCTACCTCATGCCTTTCATGCTTGCCCAGAAGTATGCCAAGCCGTGGTGTTTCATGACTTCGTACGTTCGCATTTTCATTTCACAGGAGAAGGACCTCGACGTGTTTTGGCTGACACTGATCTCGCGTTCATATTTCAGGTACAACCGTGTCAATGGCACCCACGCGTCTGAGAACAAGCATCTCTTGCAGGACATCCTGCGCGGCGAGTGGGGCTTTGAGGGGCTCGTCATGTCTGATTGGTACGTCCCTAATTTACACGCATGACATTCAAAAGTGGTTCATGTTGTATATGGCGAATTAGGTTCGGTATTTACAGCATAGACTTGAGTATCAATGCTGGCCTCGACCTCGAGATGCCAGGCACCAACAAATGGCGCACGCTTGATCTCATGAACAGGTCTATTGGCTCGAGGAAATTGACAGTGAGGACAGTGAAGGAGCGTGCGCGCAAAGTTGTCGAGCTTGCCAAGCGCGTCGCTCAGGAAGCACCAGAGGTACGTGCTTTTTGTTCCATCGCGTGCTTTTTATTGATGATAGACACTCGTAGATCCTCGATGGAGATGGTCTCGAACGTACCGTCGAAAGTGCTGATGACACAGCTCTCATGCGCAAAATTGCAGCTGAATCTATCGTGTTGCTAAAAAATACCAACGCCATCCTCCCTCTGAACCCCAACAAGATCAAAAAAATTGCTATTGTCGGGGGGAATGCAAAGGCCATCGTACTTTCTGGAGGAGGATCGGCCGCACTCAAACCATCGTACTTTGTGACCCCGTATGATGGAGTTACCGCTGCGCTTCCTCAGGGCGTGGAGGTGCTTTATAGCGAAGGCGCTAGTAGTACGTGGGTTCATCATTTCCATGAGAAGGGTTATGTTCATCATTTATATCTTGTCAGCCTACATGGAGATGCCCATTCTCGACTACGAGCTCTTCACACCATCGGGCGAGCGAGGATGGACTGGAACGTGGTACGCACATCGAGACGACGAGAGCATGACTGCAATCAACACGCCCTACTTGACGCGTCTGGTTGACGAGACGAGAATATTCATCAGCACGTCGGCGCCCAAGGGCATCACGAGACGTTGGACGATGAAACTCGAGGGTGAGCTGAAGCCCCGCGAACACGACTGTGTGTTCGAGTTCGGCTTGACTGTTGCTGGAAGAGCCAAGGTGCGCTAGTATATATCTACTTTTCTTTCATCTTAACTGAATATTGATGTTCGTAGCTCTTCGTGGACGGTAATCTCGTCATTGACAACTGGACACGCCAGCGCCGTGGCCAATCATTCTTTAGCAGTGGTTCCATGGAAGAAAAGGGCCGCGTGCCACTCAAGGCCGGCGTCAAGCATCACATCCTCGTCGAGTTCTGTAACGTCCGCGCACCAGCAGATGGTGATGAAGACGAGACGGTGATGGACAGCAACCCCGGTGTTCGTCTCGGTGGTGCAGAGGTGATCGATGAGGACGTGAAGATGGCTGAGGCTGTGGAGATCGCGAAGAAGGCTGATGTGGTTATCGCTATTGTCGGCCTGAATGCGGATTGGGAGACCGAGGGGTATGATCGGAAGACATTGGCTCTGCCTGGACGCACGGATGAGCTGATCGAGAAGGTGTTAGCGGTGAACCCCAACACTGTTGTCGTGACCCAATCCGTGAGTACGATTGAGACGGGGGATGTTGGACCCAGATGAACTGAATGCGCATTTTTACTAGGGTTCTTCAATAACGCTTCCGTGGGCAGATTCGGTTCCTGCTATGCTTCATTCGTGGTACCTGGGTAACGCGACGGGCGATGCGATCGCGGACGTTCTGTTCGGCAAGAAAAATCCGTCGGGCAAGTTATCCTTGACGTTCCCCAAGAGATTGGAAGATATTTCTGCACACGGGCACTTCCTTTCTGAGAATGGTGCCCTCCGTTACGGCGAGGATCTGTTCGTGGTGAGTTCTGTTCAAATAAAGAATGTTATTTCGCGCTCAAGTTCTGTGGCAGGGTTACAAGCACTTCCATCATAGAGGCATCAAACCACAATTCTCGTTCGGGTGAGCGGTTCTCTGTCTCAATTGAACGGAAAGTAACATATTAATTGACTTCGCCTCAACAGTCACGGTCTCTCATACACAACCTTCTCTTACTCTGACTTAAAACTCTCCGATGCTGTTCTCTCGAATGGCGAATTGAGCCTGAACGCCACCGTCACCGTTACCAACACCGGCAAGCTCACAGGTTCCGAAGTCGTGCAATTGTACGTCTCGATGCCCACCACATCTGACGTGACCCACCCGCCGTTGCTCCTACGCGCCTTCCGCAAAGCCAAAGACCTCCAACCGGGGCAGAGCGAGAAGGTGACGCTTACGCTGGACAAGTATGCTGTTTCGTTCTGGGAGGAGAGGATTGCGAGGTGGGTGGTGGAGAAGGGTGTTTATGGTGTCAAGGTGGGGGGCAGCTGTGATGAACTCCCATTGGTCGGCAGCTTTGTGGTTAAGAAAGGGTTTGAGTGGAACGGCTTGTAGGCTTGTGGTGATGCAGATGAATTTCCCAGTGTAATTTTAAACAATCAGAGTCAACGCGATATGTTCATTTGTATAGTGATACGCGCTCTAGTGAATGTGAGTACCGGCTCCGAGATCATAATGTTGAATACTGGAGGAGATGGACTCTGGATCAACAAGGCTGTGAGTCA